GATTCATAACTATAATTGTTCTTATTGGTCATTCTTTACTGGTTCCAAAATCTTTAACTCTGTCCATATTACTGTGGTGTTTATTTTGCTCTAATTGTCTAACCCAAATTTATGAGCTGATTCTAATCTTTACAACTCTCCTCCTGCTCTCTTGTTGTCTCTTGTAGTCCTCCTTTGGTGTGAGAAGTTTGCCCTGCAAGCCATGTGGCTCTGCTATGCATTCCTAATTGATTAATTGGCAATACCCCCATCCAACTCAGTATAAATTTAGGCCTTCCCTAGGGAAGGCACAGCCAGGGGTAGCATTGGCAACTACCATCTTGGCTAAAGTATTGATCTTGGATTAAGTATTGAGCATTGCACTTCGGCTCTGCACTTCAGCGAGAGGCCGACAGCTTCAAATACTAAACAGACTACAGGTGACCTGTTTCCCTATCCAGCTCTTACCCAGTCTGCTTCTTCATCTCAAGACTCTAACATGCACTCCCTACTCCTCCTTTTCACAGTTGTATCCTCTCCCTTCAAACTCTTTCCTTCACCCCTCAGCTTATATATATCACCCTCACTCCTGTCTTCACCTTATTACTGTACTCAACTCCTGCTATTCTGAACCCACATACGAATAAAACCTCCACACTGGGACCTGTACCTCCATACAAGTCATATTCCCATATTACCTCGCTTACCCTTCTGCTTCTCCTAACATCTGGAGACATTTCCCCATATCCTGGGCCACCATCTTTATCCTTTGATCAACACACCCGGCACCCCTATCCGAACATGAGCCGCAATCCACACAATCTAGTTACTATTTATCTTGCTAGAACCAGCCTCCCCCTTTTTCCTGTGCCCTCTGGAATGCCCACTCTGTCTGTAACAAACTCACCTCTGTCCATGACCTTTTTTTATCACAAACGCCTTTAACTTAATTGCACTTATGGAAACCTGGCTTTATGAATCTGACTTTCCCTCTCCTGCTGCCCTCTCCCATGGTGGTCTCCTCTGGACTCACTCTCTGAGGTCTTGTGGATGGAAAGGATATGGAGTTGGAATCCTCCTATCCCCTCAAAGTACTCTTCAGGTCCTTCATTCACCCCCCTCTCTGTCCCTCTCCTCATTTGAAGTTCAGTTTTCATCTATTCTCTTCAGTTTCTTTAAGAATTGCTGTGATCTATCGGCCTCCTGGACTGATATCAAGCTTCCTTGATGATTTCTCTGCCTGGCTGCCTTACTTTCTCTCCTCTGAAATTCCCACTATCATTCTTGGTGACTTCAACATCCCATCTTAACACTCCTGCTACCTCTAAACGTCTGAGCCCAACCACTTCTTTTGACCTAAAAAACAAATGTACACATGCTTCTACCCACTCTAATGGTAACTGCCTCGACCTTGTATTCTCCTACCTATCCTTGCAACCTCACCAACGTTCCTTTTCCTCTCTCTGATTCCTCCCTTATTAGCTTCACTGTCTCCTTGGCTTCCTCCTCCTTGACTTCCAACTACCAGTTACCTGTAGAAACCTTCACTATCTTAACCTCTCTCTTCTTTTTTCAGCAACAGATTGTCTCCGTGACAAAATATTAGCCCTGTCTTGCCCACTTCTGTATACAACAGTTCACGGTCATCCACAGTGGACACATTGGCCCCCCTCAATACACACAGAATTAGGCCCCGACCTTGCAAACGGACAATACCAGATGCCTCAAAAACTTAGCCATGCTCTTGAGCGTTTATGGCATAAGACTGAGACCCAGCAAGACTTCGACCAATATAAATTGGCCCTTCAAAAATACAATTCCTATTTCCACACTGCCAAACAGATCTATTTTATCACTCTCATTAATACCCTCTCATGCAATCCCCATCAACTCTTTCCTACCTTTAACTCTCTACTTCGTCCTTCTCTACCTCCACCCACTAACTCACTTACTGCCCAGGAGATCGCTAATCACTTAAAAAATAAGATTGATACAATTCATGGCGAGATCTCCACTGTACAGATATCTCCCTCACCCTACACTCCTTGTCCACCTGCACAATCTATACTTCTCTTGCTAAACCCAGCTACTATAGAGGAGGTTGGCAAACTTTTTTCTAAACCCCACCTAACCACCTGTACTACGGTCACCCTATGGCTCTATCCTTCATTCTTTAACTCTTATAGTCAATCTCTTCCTTTCTACTGGCATCTTCCCAACTCTCTAAAACATGCGCTAGTCACCCCCATACTTAAAAAAGCCTCACTGGACCCCATCAATCTTAGCAACCTAAGACCCATCTCCTTACTCTCTTTTGCCTCCAAACTCCTTGAACGTCTAGTCTACAACCAGCTGAGCTGCCACCTTATTGAGAATAACCTTCTCGATCCCCGTCAGTCTGGATTTCGCCCACAACACTCCACAGAAACTGCTCTCCTTTGTCACACCACTTCCTAAAACTCAATCTATCCAAAACTAAGCTCATAATATTTCCTCCCCCACATGCCTCTTCCCCTGATTTTTCGGTCAGAATTAATAGCACCACTATCAACCCATCCCTGAATGCCAAGGTGCTAGGGGTAACCCTGGATTCTGAACTATCCTTTTAGGCCCACATCCAATCCCTGTCCAAATCATGCCGCCTCAACTTCCGCAACATCTCCAGAATACGCCCCTTTTAAACCAATGATACCACAAAGCTCCTAATTCACTCCCTGGTTATCTCTCGCCTCAACTACTGCAACAATCATCCTCATTGGCTTACCTTTACATAGGCTATCCCCCCTCCAGTCCATCATGAATACTATTGCCAGGCTCATCCACCTTACCAACCATTCAATGTCTGCTACTGCTCTCTGCCAATCTATCCACTGGCTTCCACTCGGCCAACAAATAAAATTCAAAAATACTAACAACTTACAAAGCCATGCACAATTCTGCCCCCAGCTACATAACCAACCTGGTCTCAAAATATCAACCAAACCGCTCCTTCGATCCTCCCAAGACCTTCTGCTCTCCAGTTCCTGTGTCACCTCCTCCCATGCTCACCTCCAGGACTTCTCCCAAGTTTCTGCCATCCTATGGAACTCCCTACCCCAATCTGTCCAGCTATCTACTAATCTATCCACCTTTAGGTGATCCCTAAAAACCTCTCTCTTTAAAGAAGCCTATCCTGCGTCTAACTAGTAAACTGCCTTTTATTTCCTCCATCAGCTCATCCTCCACAGCTATTACCTTTTGTATCACTCAACCCTTCCTCCTAGATTGTAAGCTCTAACAAGCAGGGCCCTCTGTTTCCACTTGTACCAAATTGTACTGTAACTGTAATGTCTACCTTCATTTTGTAAAGCGCTCCGCAAACCGCTGGAGCCATATATATCCTGTATAATAATAATAATAATAATATTATTATTGAACACCAAAATACTTTATAAACATAGGATAACCAGGTTGGTCATTGGGGAAGAAGGCGTGGCTTTTTTTTTTTTGGGGTAGATATTATTTGTTCTATTGCTTGACATACACTATATTGCCAAAAGTATTGGGACACCCCTCCAAATCATTGGATTCAGTTGTTCCAATCACCTCCATGGCTACATTAGTGGTATTATAACAAAGTGGAAGCAACTGGGAATAACAGCAACTCAGCCACGAAGTGTTAGGCCACGTAAAGTGACAGAGCGGGGTCAGCACATGCTGAAGTGCAAAGTGCGCAGAAGTCGCCAACTGTCTGCAGAGTCAATAGCTAAAGACCTCCAAACTTTGTGTGGCCTTCAGATTAAAACAACAACAGTGCATAGAGAGCTTCATGAAATGGGTTTCCACGGCTGAGCAGCTGCAACCAAATCTTACATCACCAAGTGCAATGCAAAGCGTCGGATGCAGTGGCATAAAGCACACCGCCACTGGACTCTAGAGCAATAGAGACGTTTTCTCTGGAGTGACCAATCACACTTCTTTGTCTGGCAATCTGATGGACGTGTCTGGGTTTGGCAGTTTCCAGGAAAATGATACTTGACTGACTGCATTGTGCCAAGTGTAAAGTTTGGTGGAGGGGGGATTATGGTGTGGAGTTGTGTTTAAGGGGTTGGGCATGGCTCCTTAGTTCCAGTGAAGGCGTCAACATACCAAGACATTTTGGACCATCACATGCTCCCAACTTTGTGGGAACAGTTTGGGGATGGCCCCTTCCTGTTTCAACATGACTGCGCACCAGTGCACAAAGCAAGGTCCATACAGACATGGATGAGTGACTTTGGGGTGGAGGAACTTGACTGTCCTGACCTCAACCCGATAGAACACCTTTGGGATGAATCAGATTGCAGACTGTGAGCCAGGCCTTATCATCCGACATCAGTGCCTGACCTCACAAATGCACTTTTGGAAGAATGGTCAAACATTCCCATAGACACACTCCTAAACCTTGTGGACGGCCTTCCCAGCAGAGTTGAAGCTGTTATAGCAACAAAGGGTGGGCCAACTCAATATTGAACCCTACAAACTAAGACTGGATGCCATTAAAGTGCGTGGAAAGGCAGCTGTCCCAATACTTTCGGCAATATAGTGTATCCCAATCAATGAGATTCAAACCTTTACTGGAAAATGATCATTTGAGAATAAAAATAAAGATCTGATTAGTTTGCTTGCAGCAGTAAAGAATGTATTCAACACCCTGGACATTAACTGAGCTACCTGACCATCTACAGTGGCCTACAGGTATCATAAGCGGACAGACCATGGGGTATCTGCAAATATTGTAAATTGAGGAAGATAAAGACATGGCTCCTAGTAAAATGTTCTTTCTATGCCTTGCAGCTGCTGTAATATGAGAGATAAGGACTATATAACCACAGTGAAAGCATGCCCTGTCCATTCTATTGATCTAAACACACAGCACCCAGAATCTAGCTGTAATGCAGTTTGCAAGATGAAAGCCAAATCCTGATTGGCGTGGCCATAACCCCCATTATTTCTTTCCTTCACTTCTGTAAATCTACAGCAGCATACAGAATAATACTCACATTGTGCACTACTTTCTCCTCTTCATCCAGACACGATCGGTACAGAGTACTGAGGACCAGCTCCATGTGCTGAGTGGTGTGATCTTCTGCATGCACTAACAAGGTCACTAGTAGCTGAGATGCTTTAATTCGGGTTCCTATAACCCAGTCTGTTATATCATGACTGACAGCTGGAAGAATCTTAGACAGGTTTCTGAAGATGAGCTCACGACAACCAAGTCCAGGTCTTTCCACTGAAACAGAAAAAAGGTGCAATGAAACCAACTCAGACAAAAGACTGTGAACCGAAAGCATTCACTTACTGTTTATAAATGTGAATGGAGGCATAACCATCAAGACTGATGGAATTAAAAGGCAACACAAGCCTCAGTCCCAATGAGCCTAAAGTTATAGTCTAAAACATATGTGCTGACTTGTGATCATGGCTCACCTCCTGCTGGATAGAATGAAGGGTGGAGATCACTGAAGTCCATCTTGTCTTTTAGATCATCTTCATTCTCTCTTTCCCACTGGAAGCCAACTTTCTTCCAATAATCAAGAGCAATCTGTCTGCATTTATAGATGATAAATGAGCAATGATTCACATTACCAAATAAAATGGCACAGAAAAGGATTATTTGGATTAAGCATCAACTGTCAGACTGGTGTAAAAAAACAAAACAAAAAAAAACCAAAAAAAACACCACACCCATACACCTATACTCCAACTGGGTTAAGAATAAGCTATGCAAATTAACCTGTAGTGGGGCAATGCTGTTTTCTTATGAAAATGCTAGTTGCTTGGCTATTATGCTGTTCCAATGGCTGCAGTACTTTATGACATGGTATAAGTATGCAGACCAGGAATCGTGGCTTCACTTTGACTTTCTAATTCACATGCTTGTGGTAGCCAAGTGTCTCATAGAACTGAAGCCATAAAAAAGAAAAAAAATGACAGTGCACTGAATTATGGATATTGGCTAAAGAAATAATCAAAAATAATAACAAAACACCCTGTGACAAAGCCAGAATTAAACAAATTGGGGTGTGGCTATGCGGCAACCGGAGGCGATATAGTTATACGATGTGGCCATGAGTTCCGGTGGTGGTGAGAGATGAGTATTAGCGCCTTCATTACTGATCTGATGGCACTGATTATGATGAGCGTTTTTAACTTTGACTTTTATAAGTGGCATTCTTTTTTTTTTTTTTTTTTTTTTTTAAAAAGAGGCGTTTTAAAATTACTACACTATCGGGGGCCGTTTTGCTTCCTTTACATGTGAGTTGGTTAATAACCAGACGGAGGAATAATACATTAGCACCCCCCATGGACCTATGGATATATGCAAGCTCTATATGGCAATCGTGTACAGTATCGCCCAGAAGTGAGGACATCCCTCACATTTTTGTAAATATTTTATTATATCTTGTGACAGCACTGAAGAAATGACACTTTCCTACAATGTAAAGTTGTGAGTGTACAGCTTGTATAACAGTGTAAATTTGCTGTACCCTCAAAATAACTCAACACACAGCCATTAATGTCTAAACCGCTGGCAACAAAAGTGAGTACACCCCTAAGTGAAAATGTCCAAATTGGGCCCAATTAGCCATTTTACCTCCCCGGTGTCATGTGACTCGTTAGTTTTACAGGGGCACTTGTGAATGGGGAACAGGTGTGTTACATTTGGTGTTATCGCTCTCACTCTTTCATACTGTTCACTGAAAGTTCAACATGTCACCTCATGGCAAAGAACTCGCTGAGGATCTGAGAAAAAGAATTGTTGCTCTACATAAAGATAGCCTAGGTTATAAGAAGATTGCCAAGACCCTGAAACTGAGCTGCAGCATGGTGGCCAAGACCATACAGCGGTTTAACAGGACAGGGTCCACTCAGAACAGGCATCGCCATGGTCGACCAAAGAAGTTGAGTGCACATGCTCAGCATCATATCCAGAGGTTGTCTTTGGGAAATAGACGAATGAGCGCTGCAAGCATTGCTTCAGAGTTTGAAGGGGTTGGGGGTTCAGCCTGTCAGTGCTCAAACCATACGCTGCACACTGCATCAAATTGGTCTGCATGGCTATCGTCCCAGAAGGAAGCCTCTTCTAAAGATGATGCACAAGAATGCTCTCAAACTGTTTGCTGAAGACAAGCAGACTAAGGACTTGGATTACTGGAAACATGTCCTGTGGTCTGATGACACCAAGGTAAACTTATTTGGTTCAGATGGTGTCAAACGTGTGTGGCGACAACCAGGTGAGGAGTACAAAGACAAGTGTGTCTTGCCTACAGTCAAGCATGGTGGTGGGAGTGTCATGGTCTGGGGCTGCATGAGTGCTGCCGGCACTGGGGAGCTACAGGTCATTGAGGGAACCATGAATGCCAATATGTACTGTGACATACTGAACAGAGCATGATCTCCTCCCTTCGGAGACTGGGCCACAGGGCAGTATCCCAACATGATAACGACTCCAAACACACCTCCAAGATGACCATTGCCTTGCTAAAGAAGCTTAGGGTAAAGGTGATGGACTGGCCAAGCATGTCTCCAGACCTAAAACCCTATTGAGCATCTGTGGGGCATCCTCAAACGGAAGGAAGAGGAGCGCAAGGTCTCTAACATCCACCAGCTCCGTGATGTCGTCATGGAGGAGTGGAAGAGGACCCCAGTGGCAACCTGTGAAGCTCTGGTGAACTCCAAGCCCAAGAGGGTTAAGGCAGTGCTGGAAAATAATGGTGGCCACACAAAATATTGACACTTTGGGCCCAGTTTGGACATTTTCACTTCAGGGTGTACTCACTTTTGTTGCCAGTGGTTTAGACATTAATGGCTGTGTGTTGAGTTATTTTGAGGGGACAGCAAATTTACACTGTTATACAAGCTGTACACTCACTACTTTACATTGTAGGAAAGTGTCATTTCTTCAGAGTTGTCACAAGAAAATATATAAAAAATTTTTTACAAAAATGTGAGGGGTGTACTCACTTCTAGGAGATACTGTAAATGAGAGGCATATGAATTTGGCAAACCCTTGGGGAATACCCTGTGCTTGGTGAAATGAAATAAATATTACAGAGTAAGCGCTGCAACCACAAATAGCCTGAGCAGTGCCGTAAACAATTAACCACAAATTATGGTGTGCTACTTAGAAAAATTCCAATACACATAAAGTGTTCCTGTGAAACAAACTAAAAACTCTGCATTCATATACAAAAGATAAACAAACAAAAGTCCATATTTTGAAAGTGATTAGAAGTCCACATAAGTGCTGTGATGAAAATCACTCCATAGGCAACAGTGTCAGTGTATTATCCTCCACCACATATAGATGGCCTCTTACCAAATATTTAGATTTCGATTGCAGAGATCAATATACGCTTATGTATGTGTGCCCTTGCACAAGATCCACTGCGATCTACCGTGCAGTTCCTTGAACCATGAACAGACGCATTGGGGTTTATTTACTAAAGCTGGCTCACTCAGAAACACGTGCACTGCTGCATAGAAACCAATCAGCTTAAAGGTTTTATTGCTAAAGGTTACTTGAACAAGCTGAGGTTAGAAGGCGACTGGCTACCATCCACAGCTGTACCAGATTCTGAGTGAACCAGCTTTAGTAAATAAACCCCATTGTCTCACCGGCACCCTCCAAAGAGAACCACAGGAACCACAATAGTTTTATACCATCTAAAATCACAAATGATTAGATCTTGATTATGTATGTATGCCCTTGCACAATATCCACAGCAATCCACCATGGAGTTCCTTGTACCATGAAAAGACACCAATTGTCTCACCGGCACCCAAAATGATTAGATATTAATTGCAGAGATCAATATACACTTGTGTAATGTGTGCCCTTGCACAAGATCCTGTCAGGAATGGATTCACCACTGGTTGTAGGACTCACCTGCCGTGTGGCCTGCAGTACCAGGGCTGGCCAGCGGGCGACCAGAAGCTCACTCCTGCAATCAGCCATCACCTGAGGCTGATTGCAGGAGGTGTATTTAAGGAATGGCCAGCCTGCAGTCAGTGCCTTGGTGTATTGTTTCTTATCAGCCCCTGTACCTGGTATCCTGTGTTCCTGCCTATCTGCTGACCCTTTGATCCTGACCTCTGCTGACCGTCTCCTGTTCAACCCCTGGCTTGCCTGACCATCCTTCTGCCTGATCCTCTGTACCACGCTGCCCGTGAGTTACTGAACCCGGCTTGTGACCCTGACAATTCTCTGCCTGCTCCTCCGGTACCTCGCTGCCCGCACGTTGCTGACCTGGCCTGCCTAAGCCTTACGCTACCCAGACGATCCATCCATCCATCCTGCACGGATCCAGCCAACCCTGCTCACACCTTCTGCCTCTTCACATCAGTATATACCTCTGGCGGATACCTCTACCACGAGCAGGTGTACTCAGGGGCCGCGACCTGGTTCCTGTCTGCTCCAAGTCCATCCCCACCATCAGGGGCCCTGGTGAATAAGCAGACTGGGACTTAGACTCCGCGCCCTGGGGAATCCTGTCCTGAGGACTGCTAGAGGTACCACCAGACGGTCGTTAACAGAACCATATGGCCGGCCTGACCATTCCACCTCTCCAGCCCTGACTACGCCTGTGTTCCTGCACATACGAAGATTAGTGTAAAGTTGGTTTGTTTACTGTGCGTTGTATATTTGGGTGGCTAATAATAAATTGTATTGTTATTATATCATTCCTGAAGCCTGTTACTTGACTGTGTCAGTCCACACATTTCTGGTCATACCCAGATCCCTCACAGATCCACTGCATTCCACCATGCAGTTCCCTGTACCATGAACATAAACTGGTTGTCTCACTGGCACATGGATCCAAGAAAACTCAAGCATAAAACAAACAAGCTGAGGAAGTGTTCACAGCATGTAATGTAGGTCACCGGCTAAGCCCCTCCCTACATGTTTCGCCAACCAATGAGTATCGTACCATAATTTGTGGTTGATATAAATTTGGCAAGTCTCTGCCTAGAGGGAGAGGTGTCTCACAGTTGCACGTAGTGACCACAGGAATATGTGATGTGGTGGACGCTTAAATATTATTGCATCATAGTTTTGACTTGATGGGACTTTTTAGTGCACTATTTTCACTGTATTGATGAAAAATATTGTATCTGACACAGTGCTGCTTTAAAAGAGTAGCAGTAGCTTGGCAAAATTATTTTGAGTTCATTTGTAATAAAGAAATAATCAGTTTATAAAAAGTCCACATTTAGTCCAGAGATGAAAAATGGGAAATGCACTTAGTCGTAAAGTTCATGGTGATCAGGAAAATCCTTGCAGTGTGCTTCTGAATTGTTACCTGTGACTGTTTTTTTTTTTAATTTTTTTATTAGTAAATCATCTTTCAATGCACAAACAACTAAGGGTAGAGGTAGCCAGACAACTAGCATTTTTAGAAAGTGGTTAGCAATGGCAACCCCATAGTTCTTCAACTAGAAATGTGACTGACATATACCACTTATTTTTAGAACATTTTCAAAATGACACCTCCTTTCACTGTTATGTAAATTAGGGTAGATCTATGCTCC